TTATATAGGGTGAGGGTATGTGAGCATGGGAGTGTAGTTATAGATACGAGGCAAGGTGGGTGTTATGGGTATGGGTGGGGGTAGAGTTGGGTATGTGGGTGGGTGGGTGTGAGGTGTGGAGGTTGGTGATGTGGAAGTGGGCTATGGTGGGAATCGGTGTGGGCTTCTAGGAATGAGCCTTAAGCCCTAAGTCGTAAGCCTTAAGAATTAAGCTATAAGTTATAAATCATCCGCCTAATCCTTAATCCATAACCATTAACCATAAGCCGTAAGTTATAATTCATAAGACATAAGACATATAACATAAGCCATAAGACATAAGCACTTATCTCTAAGCCTTAAGCCCTTAGCCCTAAGCCTTATGCCCTAAGCTTTAAACTCTAAGGCATACGCCCTAAGCCATAAGTCATAATCTATAATCCCTAACCCATAAGCCTAAGTCGTAAGCATAATCCTTGATATGTAAGTCATATGCACTAAGCTCTAAATCATAACTAATAACTCATAAGGTAACATCCAAAGAATGTTTCTTATTTCGAAATATAAAGCTTTCATCTTTATGTCTTTATCTTAAGGATCTAAGTTTTGGATAAACTTTTGATCATTTTTTCCCAAGCCCTTATTTTTCTTGGAGTTTTTTTTTTTGAAGTTCATAGCTTTTTGTGTTGTTTTATGCTTCTTGACATTTATTGTGGGGGAAATTGAGCCATGCATGGGTTCTTTTGAGTCCATGTACAAGTTATGACCTTTTATGAACTTAATGGATTTAGGGTTTGAGATTTAGAGTTATTAAGCCCTTAGGGTGGATAAATTTAGAAACTTTATCCATTGGGTCATTGGAATTAGAGCTGGCAAAAATCGACCCAACCCACCAACCCAACCCGAACCCAACCCAAAATTAGCGGGTTGGGTTGAGATATTCAACCCATTTAACTTAAATTGGGTCAACCCGTCTAACTCATTTAATTAAATAGGTTGCGTTGGGTAAAAATTATCAACCTATTTTCAACCCGTCAACCCATTTAACTTTAATATATATATTTAATTTAATATTATTTAAATATTATCATGTATTAATGAAAGTATTAAAATTGTAAATTATAATGTTGCATTATTATTATCTATGTTTAATAAAATGTAATCCTAATTTTCATCATTTTTTAGCACCGATAATATTGGTTACTCTCCAAAATCACAATGAAACTAAACATTTTTAATGTTATTTGAACAATTTATTTGTATTTATGAATTAGGATTGTGCTTTTGTCATAATTATGAGGTTTTATTTACGTTTTATAATTTAAT